ATCCTCCCTAGACTGTGTGGGCGTTCTTTGGAAGACGGCACCAAACCTCCAAGTCAGTCAGGTGCAATTTGATTTTGCTAGCAGCTGCTTTGAAATTTGGGGGATTTTTTTGGCTGGGTGCTTGTTTGTCGTGGTTTTTTTAAAAGCCCTTCTCATCTTGCATTAGCAGCCCCGAATGCCGAGAGGGCTTTTATGTAATTTTTGTAATTTTTTTGCAATTTAACAAAGCTTAAATAATCACGACGTTCCCCAGCGACTCTCTCCAAGGCACTTGCAACCGCGGCCGTTGCAACCGGAGCACCGTGCGCATCTTCCCATGGAGGCCGTGATCTGCTAAAACATACACACACACAAATATACAAATACCTGAAGGAGACGCATCGGGATAATAACATGGAGGAAGAGGAGGAGCTGCAGCACTGAATTCCCGGGCTGTGCTATCAAGCGGCAAAGAGATGGTGATTTTGTAATGTGTTCCCGGTGCAACTTCTGGAGTTGTGAGAGCTTTTGCCTCCCCTTCCCCCGCCTCACCTGCCTCCTACTTGCCGCCTGTCTCCTCTATTTTTGATCTGCCGTTTCCGCTCTTCTCCGCACCCCCCCAGAGCCCCCTCCCCACTTTTCCCGCTTTGCCATGGGAATGGGGGCAGGTTTCTTGGCCCTTGTCATGTCGGCTTCATTTTTCAATCCCAGCTTTGCCTTCAGTTCGCACTTCGACCCCGGTAAGTTGATTTCTTGTCTGTAGCTTTGGGGGCCCCAAAAGCCTGGCGGGGTTCTCTGTTGCAAAACGATTCTTTCCTTCCCTCCTGCCCGAGTCCTTCCCGTTTCTTCTCGGGATCTGAGAAGAATTTCTCTGCTCCTTGGCTTTCCCACCTCAGTTGCCCAGAGCCTGATGATGGGGGAACATTTTGTTCTTTCCTCCCCAAGCACTGAGCCGATTGCCTGCCACCACCACCTAACCTTGATTCACACATATATACAGGATGAACATAGCTGGGGATTCATTATGTTAATGCCCCAGCAGTTTCTAGTCCCGCATAATATTTCTTGGATGAGTCTTTGTAGTTTAGAGATTTCAGTTTCAGAGCTTCACAAACCTCCCAATTCCAACATGATACTGGCTGAGCCTTTTCTTCCCCTTCCTTCCTTCCTCCTCCTCCTCCTCCTCCTCCATCATGGTGAAAGAAATCCTGTTTAGACAAAATCCCAGCTAGAAGTGTGTGGAAAGTTAATGTAAGTTATAGTTACAGTAGATGATCCTATATACTTGTGCAACTCCTATTGAGAAAGTGATTGGACTTGTTTGCCTGCCACAGAAGCATAGTAGCTTACACGTTTGTATGCTGTTCTGCATTTCCTGACATTTATCATGGATACAAAAGCACAATATGTCATATTCAGAACCCTGGGAGCTTTTTTGGAGAATTGAATTCAATAAGATCTTGGCCATACCACTACAGGACTCTAAAGAAGTGCATGTGATAGTTGGATTAAAAACAACAACAACTCTGATTTCTCATCATTCAAATAGGATAGACACTGATGTTTTTAAAACATCAGAATGTTACAAGCTGCTGGTCTGTAGTATAAAATACATCTGAGTAATGAAGCCAGACATGCCCTGTAGCTATAGAAATAATTTATCAGTTGGAATAATTACACTGCAAAATGTAATCTTTCCTGTTTAGTTACCCTCACAATATAACTTAGTTATATTTTAGTTATCGTAAATTGAAGTAAATCATTATTTTCAACAATTTACTGCCAAGGTGCGCAAATTTCATGACACACTGTCCACACTTCCTGGTCATCAGAGCTATAATGCTTTCTGATTATTATTTCTTCAGATCAGATGTTGACTTAATCTTTGGATGTCTATTTTAGAACACACTGCTAGAAACCTGACTTTGAGTCTAGGTATCCTAGCAAAAGATTATGGAAGCCGGAGGTAGGCAACGTTCTTTCTTGGGGCTACGGGAAAAGAAGTGTAAAAATATCAATGAAATTCCCCCCCCTTTTTTTGGCAAGATCCTCCCTAGACTGTGTGGGCGTTCTTTGGAAGACGGCACCAAACCTCCAAGTCAGTCAGGTGCAATTTGATTTTGCTAGCAGCTGCTTTGAAATTTGGGGGATTTTTTTGGCTGGGTGCTTGTTTGTCGTGGTTTTTTTAAAAGCCCTTCTCATCTTGCATTAGCAGCCCCGAATGCCGAGAGGGCTTTTATGTAATTTTTGTAATTTTTTTGCAATTTAACAAAGCTTAAATAATCACGACGTTCCCCAGCGACTCTCTCCAAGGCACTTGCAACCGCGGCCGTTGCAACCGGAGCACCGTGCGCATCTTCCCATGGAGGCCGTGATCTGCTAAAACATACACACACACAAATATACAAATACCTGAAGGAGACGCATCGGGATAATAACATGGAGGAAGAGGAGGAGCTGCAGCACTGAATTCCCGGGCTGTGCTATCAAGCGGCAAAGAGATGGTGATTTTGTAATGTGTTCCCGGTGCAACTTCTGGAGTTGTGAGAGCTTTTGCCTCCCCTTCCCCCGCCTCACCTGCCTCCTACTTGCCGCCTGTCTCCTCTATTTTTGATCTGCCGTTTCCGCTCTTCTCCGCACCCCCCCAGAGCCCCCTCCCCACTTTTCCCGCTTTGCCATGGGAATGGGGGCAGGTTTCTTGGCCCTTGTCATGTCGGCTTCATTTTTCAATCCCAGCTTTGCCTTCAGTTCGCACTTCGACCCCGGTAAGTTGATTTCTTGTCTGTAGCTTTGGGGGCCCCAAAAGCCTGGCGGGGTTCTCTGTTGCAAAACGATTCTTTCCTTCCCTCCTGCCCGAGTCCTTCCCGTTTCTTCTCGGGATCTGAGAAGAATTTCTCTGCTCCTTGGCTTTCCCACCTCAGTTGCCCAGAGCCTGATGATGGGGGAACATTTTGTTCTTTCCTCCCCAAGCACTGAAACAACACCACCACCCAGTGCTGAACCGGATCCAACATATGGATCGGTGATCGGGTGGCACCGCAAGCAGGCAAACCGAGTCACAGAGGCTGCTTTTGTTTTGGGCAGGGATTTTATTTTATTTTTTTGAAAGATCACGAATGAACAGATGCTTCCTGCAAAGCTGCATCGCTATTGATCAGTTGTTCAACCTTTCCGTTTCCCAATTGAGGGGACCCGGGAAATAATTCTCGTGCGTTTCTTATGTAATTGGACATTGTAAACATCAGCCCTCCCGATGTAGGGGACTTCCTCTGAGGCATGCCCTTCATGCACGCAAGGTATTTTCGGCGGCCACTCTTTCAAACAGGGCTTGTTTGGGTTAGGTAAGAGATGGAGAGGGATTGGCCTGCCTTGGAAAGTTGTTTTGGAATCGGAGAAAGGCAGGAGGAGTTGCATAAGCCTGGGTGTGTGTGTGTTTCCAACCCTGATGGAGGTCCCTTTTTCCTGCGTTGTGGAGGCAGTTGTTTTAGGTGAAGTTAAGCAAAGGGGGGGGGGATGTCAGTTCACCTTGGGGAGGGGAGGGCTTTCTGTGTGAAGGGTGTCCGTGTGCATTAACTTCCCTTTGGTAGAGGTGACCCGTATACCCCGTTTGGCTGCAGCTGTTTTGCCTGGGTAATCGTTAGCTCTTGATTTGCGGAGGGGGGGCAGCCTGCTGTCCCTGCAAAGGGAGCCTTGCTCCCCAGAGGGACTTCCATCTTCTGGTGACAGGCTCCCTTGCTTTTCCCTCCAGCGAGAAATCCTGAAAGGTAAAAACCGAATCCTTATGCTGAGCTTCTCTGTTTGCTTCTGGACTGGGTTGTACCTCCTTGGTCTTATTGTTGCCATTTCCTTTTATTTTCAAAATAGCTTCTAGTTCCTCTCTCCCCCCCAACTCCCACACTGTCCTCCTAGAACTGTCACTTCATCTCCAGTCACTGCTTGATGTGTTCATGGCCCTTTATCTGCAAGCTGTTGGAAGATGGACTCAGTCGGCTATGAATGAAACATGAATTTGTCTTTAATATCTCCAAATGTCACTTCTGTGCTCTCTACTGGGATTGTCTTGTTGGGGGGTGGCGTGAGGAAGAGATCCCACTGTGTTCTGCTCTGATATTTTGGCACAATCTTCTGGATTCCGCTGCAGTTGTATTTGCAGGCCTGGAGTGAAGTCTTGGACTCGGTGGTGAGATTTGATTTCTCAAAAGACTTTTTCCCCCCCATGAAACATTTTTGAGCAAAGGAGGAAGCACAAACGGCAAGCAGATAGAGAGAGGCACCCTTTTATTCTTGGAAAATCACACATTAATTTGGTTTCTTCAGGTTGTTTCATACCATATTTAGCAAAGGTTGGTGAAGTGTTAACTAGTGTAATTATTATTTTGGACTATATGAAACCACAAGTACATTATGCAGGCATTAAGGAACTACCGGTATATGTTTTGTAAGTAGCTACCTTGCAATTTTCAGTGGTGAATATATGCTTGTTCCCTTACTTATCCATGTTGCTGTTGCAATGCATGGTCCGACCTTGCATTCTATCAGTCTGGTAGATGGAGGATGATATGGGTACTCCTCCTCTTTCATCTCCCTTGAAATATATGTATAAGGATTACCCGGAATCTCAAAAAGCCTTTAATAAGGTCCCTTTCCTAAAATCCACATAGACATCGAGCACTGATAAGTACAAAGGGATGCACACATGAGCAAAATATTATTATGTTATCTTAACTGTTACTAACAATTACCTCTCCAGAAAAAAAATTGGCTCACTGTGATGCTACCACTTGCTAGAGATTGTTCAGAAAAGAATAAGTATTGGTGAAAAGAACATAATGTCTATGTATTCATTATTTGATGTGATCTGTGTCTACTTGAATAACGCATGAAACTCTGGAGGCTTGCCTTAAAAATAAACCAAACTGAGAATGGCTGAGGTGACAGCTACATCTATTATGTGGAGCTATACGCTGTATGAAGAAGGGTAACAAAGAAGATGTTTTTCTCATCTTAGAAAAATGAAAGTGAAATAGAATGTAGTGAGTTAATCAGAATTTTAAAAAATAAACTCTATAAGAATAGTTTTGTGCAGCTCTGGTAAATGACCAAAGTGTATCTGGATGAGTTGCTTTTACATGAGCTGCAAGCTGAGTTAGGTACCTGGCCTGTATTGTCTTCAGTGTGTTCCAGCTTGGCTGTAATGTCAATTCAAAAATAGCATGCCATGCGGTTTGCATCACAGTACTGGTGTAATCACTTTCTTGATATGCGTAGCGTCACGGTGTTGTCCTGGGATCTGCCATGGTCCGCCATTCTTAATTTGAGGATATAAAAGTCTGATTGTATGGGACAGGTAGGCATGGACTCCTTTCCTCAAGGGGAAAGTGGGTAGATGAGTTACACTTCCATTCAAAGCCTGATCTGTTGCCATATTTAGGTTCTTTGGGAACAACATTCTTAATGATTGGCTGGTTTACAGTGTTTGTTTCCTTGTTCATTTGTTTGTTTCACCTGTGCCTGTACATATGTGATTTGGATTCTCTGCATGTTATTTTGAGTCATCTGGAGACTGCTCTCCAGGTGCAGCTGTTCTTTCATTGTTAGAGTGTGTTACTACTACATGAGATGGACTAGTTGTCTTTTTAAAAATCTCATTTCTGAAGTGTCATCCATACAGTGTGTAGTGCTAATATTGATTGGTGATACAGCAGGGAGATCAGAGAGGGGAAATCCCTGTTGTTAGTACTTCAACTGCTTTCCTGTCATTTCCTCCTCCTAGTTCTACTGAGATGATTTCTTAAAGTGGCTCGCCTAAGGTTGGAAGATGAAGGCTTGCTTAAGGCAGGCCACCCTCTGGACTCATTGCTGGGATTTGATCAAGCTGACTTGCTGACTTTAAGACAGAGCTTGGAATTAACATACAGTACTATATGTCACTGGATTACCTGTAAACCATTACTTCAATTAGTAAGTAGGGGAAATTTCCCATTTCAAGTATTGGTAGTAATGGATAATTGAGTAAATGAGTAACAGTAACAATTCGAACTCCAATACCTAAAAAGTATCAAGATTTGTTGATATTTATAGCCAGCTATCAGACCCCAGAAAACTGTCAAACGTATGGAACATAGTGATGAAAACTTATTTTGGGTCAGGAAGTGTCAAAGAGGATCAGTATTTGCTTACGTTGTTCACAGCCACTAAGCAGCTCGAGGCTGCAAGTGAATTCATGTCTCATTGCAAGGGGATTGCAATGGAATGGACAAACAATCAGATAAACATGAGAAAAAAAATGGGAAAAAGTATTGCTGGATAGCTCAGTTGTTTAGGTGTTGGAGTTCGATTCTCCACCGTACCTCCTTGACAGGGGCTGGATTAAAAGAGCCATAGAGTTTTTCTCAGCTATGCAGTTCCGATATGATGGTGGTGATGGTAATGATGATGATGATGATCATTGTGTTTTGGCCTTTGTGCTGTGATTCTTGGTCAGCCGGTATAAGTTTATTGGACCTTCAAACAGAAGCTGGCCTGGTTCCTAAAGAGTCTGCCATCAGGAAGTACAGTGGTGCCTTGTAAGATGATGTTAATTCGTTCCGTGAAAATCGCTGTCTTGCGAAAACATCGTCTTGCGAAATGCGGTTCCCCATTGGAATGCATTGAAATCTATTTAATGTGTTCCAATGGAGAAAATCACCCATAGGGAAACCGTTTTGCGAAGCGTGGACCCAGCTGTCAAAATTGCTGTCTTACAAAAAAACCATTCCTAAAAAAACCATTTTGCGAAGCACGGGCCCAGCTGTCAAAATTGTCGTCTTGCGAAAAACCATCCCCCCCAAAAAAACCTGTCTTGCGAAGCACGGACCGAAACATTGTCTAGCGAAAATCGCCCATAGGGAAAACCATTTTGCAAAGTGCTATAGCGATCGCAAAACCCATCATCTTGCGAATTAACCGTTTTGCGAAGTAATCGTCTAGCAAGGCACCACTGTATGATGTCACATTCAAAAGAATGGGGACCATCTGGTGGCGTTGCAAAATGTCTATAGTGAATTTCCTAGGGTTAGGTAGGGAATGGAAATGTGAATTTGTTCTGGAAGGGTATGGCTAGAAGGTAGATATTGTGATGGTGTCAGAGTTAGTACACAGGGTGTGCACAACATGGGTGTGATATGGTTGTTGGTCTGTTTGTTCCCTCACCTTGAGCAATTCTACTTACCTGGATTGAGCTTTGGCTTATTTGTTTCTCGTAGTCCATTTCAGGCAGATAGCAAGGAGTCCACCGCTTTCCCTGAATCAGACAAGAGAGCTGCAGGAGTACTGATGGGACCTCACATTGTCTCTTGCAAGAGACAAGATAACTGAATCTTGCAAAGTCCTGTATTCAGTTGCATGCATTATGGTGGTGGAGACAGAAAACAAATCTTTTGGCACTCGACAAAACAGATACTAAAGGTGAGGAAAAACTGTCTGCCCACAGTACTATCTGGTTTCCATGAAGAGGTGGTAATGGAATCACTGTAAGTCCTGGAATCCATGCAGGCAGTCCCAAAGAATAGTGTAGCTAAAGGCTTCTGAGGGATCCAGGAAATACTGTAATCCAGTCTTCCTTCTCTTGCCATGTTTCGAGGACAAATCATCTATGAGAAAGATCAAGGCAGTTTTAGTTTCTGAAGCAGACTGATCTGCATTGTTGAGGGAAACAGTAGCTGGGCTGCATCTCTGTGTGCTCAATCACCTTGCATAAAAATGTCAAACAGTAGACTAGTTTGTG